CCCACATATATGCACACACACATTCACCCCCCACATATATGCACACATTCACCCCCCACACACATATATGCACACATACACACTCACACCCCCCATACATGCACACACATACACAAAGAAAATAGCATATATATTTATTTTACTTTTTAAGATTTATCTTTATGTTCATGTCTGTGTCTTTGTGAGTGTATGTGAGGTGCAGGTCTCCCAGGAATCAGAAGAGGGTATTGGATCCGCTGGTGCTAGCGCTGCAGGTAGTTATGACATGGGTGCTGGGACCCAACTCTGGTCTTCTGTAAGAACAGTCTCGCTCTTAGTGTGCAGGCCACCTCTCCAGCCACTTAGCCAACCTTCCCAAAGTAAAGAAAAGCCAGAATTCTGAAAGCCATCCTGCTGCAAGGGTCTCAGAAAGGGAGTGTCCTTTGTATTATGAATAGAGTTGCTGAGACTTGTGTCTCCGGGATTGGATATGTGTTGTGCATGTTGCCCTAGGCTCCTCCAGACGCCCGTGTCTCTCACTCCCAAGCTGGATTAGCAATTTCTCTGAGCACTTGGGTTTTTGGAGGCTCATTCCCATACAGCTTCCTAGCTCTGTCCTCAGTGGTTTGGTTTACAGTGGGGTCTAAAACTTGAATTCCTGAGGCTGGAGAGGTGGCTCAGTGGTTAAGAGCACTGGCTGCTCTTCCAGAGGATGTGTGTTCAATACCCAGCACCCACAGAGCAGCCCAGAAGGTCTATAACCCCAGTTCCAGGGGATCTGACACTACCATGCACATGAAATATAAACAAATAAATAAGTAAAAGTGTGGTGGTCCATGCCTTTAATCCCAGCCCGACTTGACGTCAGGTGGTGGCAGGTAGGTGGTGCCTCAAGGAAACAAATTTTTTTCATTGTGGGTGGGAGAGGAGACTGGATCTCACTATGTAGCCTGGCCTCAAACCCTCTGTGGAGCCCAATACAACCTCGAACTGTTTATTTCAAGACCTATCTCTGTATCCAGGCTTAGCTCGCTATGTAGCACAGACTATTGTTTGAGACAGGGTCTCATCCTATAGCTTTAGGCTAGCTTTGAACTCTATCCTCCTGCCTCAGCTCCCCCAGTGATGAAGTTTCCTAGGGAGGCTCCAGATTTGAACTCTTCCCACCCCCACACCCCAAACCAGGATTTTTCTGTATATCTCTGGCTGCCCTGAAACTCACTCTGTAGACCAGGCTGGCCTCAAACCTCTACCTTCCCAGGCTAGGATTAAAGGAATGTAACACCACCGCCAGGTTTAAAAAGATGTTTTGGTTTGTTTTAGTTTTTTCAAATCAGTAGTTTCTCTATGTAGTCCCGGCTGTCTTGGAACTCACTCTGTAGATCAGGCTGACCTCGAACTCAGAGATCTGCTTGCCTCTGCCTCCTGGGTGCTGGGATTAAAAGCGTGTACCACCATCTCCCATAAACTAACTCCTTCCATTAGCTTGCTGTTTGTGCTTTCTTTTCAGATCCACCAATAGGATACACCTTCTGACAACTTTTAAAATCTGATATGTCTTCACTTTGAATCAAAACCCACTTGGTGGGTTCAAATTACTTGTCTATTGCCACTCTTAACAAAACAGGAGGGGGACAGGCACAGGTAAGCAGATCATTTTGGCCAGATGTCCATCATCCATTCTGTCTTGAAACACGTGTGGTCCCACTGAGGTCCAGCAGAACCACTGAGTAAAGCAGAATCAGTAATTTCATGCTAATTACACAAGTACCCAGGGTTCAGTGCAGCACTCACCTGACTGGCACACAGCTGTCCACGCAATGAGATGTCCACCCCCTCCTCCCTGACCCCAGGAAGAACAGCTAGCTTGTCATAAACATCATTTCGCACAGACGATTCCTTTCAAGTTTAAAGCAAGTTTTTTTTCCTCCTCCAAGACTAATGAGATCCGTCATAATAAAACATCTTGACCAGGAACCCGGAACATCTCCCCACCTTCCATCTTCCTCTCATGCTCCAGCTAGTCAGTCCCCGCCAGAGATGTGGGGAGCGCCTGGAAGAGTCTCACTCCCCCGGCGATTAAGTTGGTTCCTCAAATTGTTCCAGACAGGACCGGCAGGAAACAGCGCCTGGCTTTGGTGGCGGCTGCAGCAGAGTGGGTAAGTGCTGTCCAAGCGGCCTCGCATCGATCCCCCGTCTAAGGTCTAAGGTCTGGTTGGGTCACAATTCTAGCCTCCCTCCCCCATCCGCCTGGTTGTCTGAGTCCCGGAGCTGCCACGTCCCTAGAGGCCTGAGTTTCCTTAAGAGGCCCTGCTGCCAGTCCGGCCAGGTGGGAGGAAGCTTGGTCCAAGTCTGGTGGCCCTAGGTGGGTGGAGCTTGATCGTGGCCCTAGCTAGGAGGAGTGTGACCAGGAGGTGCCGCTCACCCTTAGCGATCCGATGCGCGTCCCTGCACCCCTGAGAGTTCTCAGTCCCCGGGAGACAGGTGCTGTGGCCGCGCGGCGGCGCCCCCGAGGGGAGGTCCCGGAGTGCCCGCCCTCACCCGCCCTGTCTACGCCCCTCCCCTCCCCTCCCCTCTTCTCCCCTCCCCCGCCGTCCGCAGCCACCGGTCGCCAGCGATCCGGCTCCCGGGTCCTCGAGCAGACCCAGAGAGCGCGCGACGACGTGTGGGGACACCCGCGGACCTGACCCTGGAGATCACCCGGGTTTGCCCGCCTCCCATCAGCCGCGATTCCCTGGCCCGCGATCCTGAGCCCAGGGAACTCATTGGGTGGGGGTAGGGTCCCCGAGGACCCGGGCCAGCTCCCGGCGCGACGATGGAAGAGCAGCAGCGCGCGCGCTCGCACACGGTCACCACCACTACCAGCTCCTTCGCGGAGAACTTCTCCACCACCAGCAGCAGCTTCGCCTACGACCGAGAGTTCCTCCGCACCCCGCCGGGGCTCCTGATCGTGGCCGAGATCGTAAGTGTCTGGCCGGGCCGGGCTGGGCCGGGCAGAGGGAGGCAGGTGGACTAGGCTAGCTTGCGCCTCCAGCTCCGCCCACCGAGCTGGCTCCGGTCTTCCCGCGGGCTCCGGGAACACTCCTGAGCTGAGCTTCGACTTCTTTGTAAAGTGCAAAACTCACATCCAGGTTCTTTCACCTGAGACTCTCTTGGGGACCGGGTCGTGACCCTCAGGATGTCTGTTGTGGGAGGCATCTCAGCTTGCTGTTTTCATTAAAGGATGGTGGTCTTTCCCGAGAAACGGGTACTTTGGTGGGCGTTTATTGATCATGGGTGTCCGGAATACCTAGGGCCTACCTCACCTGATCTCCACGTTCATGGGTCCCTAAAAACAAAGCTTTTTATCAAACTGACCCTTCCAAAGTGCTGGGCTGGAACCCAGAGCTTCACGTGCCAGTCGGATGCTCTATCACTGAGCCGCACCCCCGGTTCTAAAAGTTTTCCAATTATACGTTATAAAGGAGAGAACTTTTTCGTAATTATCTTCCTGTAGTCAAATTGACATGAATCAAGAACATTTCCCTGAATAAATCTGAGAATCTCAGCCTCTTTGAGACCTTGAGGGCCGCTGTACGGACCGAGCACATCCTGGTGGGGGCTGGGTACGTGCCTGGGAGGGAGGCAGGGCTTGTACACGCTGTTCCTGGGAAGCCAGGCCTTCCGCCTGGAGTTCTGTTGACTACTTGTGGCGGCCACTATCTATTGTTTTCACCTTCTGCCAGGGTGTCAGTCCTGAAGAAGCTTCTGAGCTTGTGTAGGCCCTGAAGCGCTCTCCCATGAAGGTGGTTGCAAGTAATCTTATTTTACACGCGAGGAAACTGAGGTTCAGAGAGGGAACGGAAGTTTGCTGGTGTTGGCGGAGCTGAGATTCAAACCCACGTCTTCCCTCTTCTTGCTGTCTGCTCTTGCCTGCTAAGGAGCGTCAATTCCCACAGTCTAGTAGGAGTTCCCCCCCCCCCCCCTTCTGCTGCATCTCGGACTCAAGGAAACATTTGTGAAACTGAAATCCAGTCCGTATGAAAGCTAAAGGATGGGGGGAGATCGTGGTGTACGGTGGCCGAGACGTGCGTGGACCCTCTGAGAAACCTTCAGCAGCCCCTGTGTGGATTCCAGGAGCTTGCTGGCTCAAGGTCCAGATCCACCCCAGACCCACCAAATCAGCTTCCACAGAAAGTTGGCAAGGGGTTGGCTTAGCTCATCTCCAAAATGATTGGCCCAGCCAGCCCCTAGGGTATCTGCAGCCCTATTAAGTAGCCCTAAGTAGTACAGTCACAGTGCAAGGCCTGGCCTGGCGTTAAAGAGCTCCACAAATATTTGCTGTGTAAGTGAGGGAGTTGGCAGGCTCTCCTGCTTCAGCAAAGCAAATAGACGCTCATCAAGTGACTGAGTTGGGGCTTCTGTGGGGTGGCTCGGACCACTACCGATTTGTGTTGTCTGGTTTGTTGTTCACATGCTCTCTGTTACATACCTCCAGAAAATACGAAAGCAAAAGAACTGTAAAGGACCCTTCATCCCATCACTAAGGCAAACTACTGTTGGTGGTTTTGGCATGGGTCTATAGGCTGCAGTGAACTCGTCCGTACAGTTTTTGGTTTGGGTGTATGTGTGTGCGTGGGCATGTGTGGCTATGCTTCTCCAGGTGTGGATGCCGAAGGGTGACATGCGGATGTCTTCATATTTCCCTTCTTTATTTGGGAGGGGGACCTGACCTGTGGGAGTCAGAGGACAACGTATGGCAGTCTATTCTCTCCTTCCACCAAGTTGTCCCTGGGATTTGAAGGACGTTGTCAGGATTGGTGGCAAATGCCTTTATCCGTGGAGCCATCTTAACCTATTTTTCACTGAACCTGGGCATTTAATTGAGCCTCTGGGATCTACTTGTCTCAAACCCCACACACTGGCATTATAGGCAAACACCACCATACCCAGATTTTTACTTGGATGCTGGGGAGCCAACCGCAGGACTTTTATGCAGCAGATACTTTATCCCCAATCTCTACCCACCTTTGTCAAACAGAGATAACAGTACTTGAGATGGGCAGTGGTGGCACACACTTTTAATCCCAGCACTTGGGAGGCAGAGGCAGGTGGATCTCTGTGAGTTCAAGGCCTGTCTAGTCTACAGAGTGAGTTCCAAGATAGACGGAGCCACACAGAAAAACCCTGTCCCAAAAAAACAAGATAGATAGATAGATAGATAGATAGATAGATAGATAGATAGATAGATAGGTGATAGATGTCAGATAGATGATAGATAGATACATAGATAGATAGATACATAGATACATAGATAGATACATACATAGATACATACATAGATAGATAGATAATAGATAGATAGATGATACATAGATACATACATAGATAGATAGATAGATACATAGATAGATACATACATAGATACATAGATAGATACATACATAGATACATAGATACATAGATACATAGATGGCCAAATAATGTTACAGGCAGGAAAACACAAATTTCTCACTCTGTCTCCATACCTAATGCTGTGAATCATATTTTTCTTTTATCCTGTTTATTTATCTGACAGGCATAAGATTGGAGGTTAGAGGTCAATATGAGGGAATCAGTTCTCAGCACTGCGTTGGTTCCTGGGATTGAAGGGCCTTGCCAGCCAGCACCTCTACGGCTGAGCTACCTTGCTGTCTCTGAATAACATGTTTCTGGTACTGTCTCTTGGAGTTTCTTGCTGATCTTAGACACTATGCATTGCCTTTCGCTCCAAAAGATGAAGTCTTGGCTTTCTTAGACTGTGATGGTTTGAATGAAATGACCCCCGTTGTCTCTGATACTTGAAAACTTGGTCCCCAACTAATGGTACTCTTGGGGGAGTCTTAGGAGGTGTGTCCTTGTTGCAGGAAGCACTGGAGGTGAGCTTTAGCCTGGGGCCATTCCCAATTCAGAAGAGGTTTTCTGTTTCTTCTTGGGTTTAAGTTGTGAGCCCTCAAACTGCCTGCCTCTGCCACCACACCTTAGCTCTGCCATTATGGGGCCTAACCTTCTGGAGCCATAAGTCCAAATAAACTCTTCTATGAGTTGCTTTGGTCATGTGCTTTATTGCAGCAATAGAAGAGCAATACATGGACCAGGGAAGTTCAGCCCTGCCTGTCTTCCATGATAGCCATCAGGTGTCTTGGTTTAGACCAGTACCAGTTGACCTATGACTTGGCAAACACCTCACAGCTGAGCCATCAGGTAACTTATATGGAAGTAGAGGCAGGAGGGTCAGGAGTTCAGGGTCAACCTTAGTTACATAACAGGTTCCAGGCTATCCTGTGCTGCGTGAGAACCTTTCTCAAAAGAAAAAGTTAATTCCAATGCATCTCCCCCATCCCATTAGAATGTTCTTTCTCTATAGTTGTCATAGTGACATGGCTTCGTGTGAGGATCTTTTCTTCCTGCACATTGAGTACCTGGTGTGTTCTCTCAAATAAGGAAAACATAATTTAAAATTTTTTTAAAATTTGGTTTATTGTTCTAGTCTTTCCAGTTTAAAACATTTTTTAAAAAAATTTATTTGTTTGTTTTATTTATGTGAGTACATTGTCACTGTCTTCAGACACACCAGAAGAGAACATCGGATCCCATTACAGATGGTTGTGAGCCACCATGTGGTTGCTGGGAACTGAACTTGGGACCTCTTCAAGGGCAGCCAATGCTGTTAACTGCTGAGCCATCTCTCCAGCCTGTCTTTCCACTTAAAAACAAAACCAAAACTCCTCTTATACTTTTTTCTTTATTATATGTGGCTTGCTGTTTACACATTTTTTAGTTTACTTATTGGTGTGGGCGTGTGTGTGTGTGTGTGTGTGTGCGTGTGTGTGTGTGTGTGTGTGTGAAGGAAGAGGTCTTGTATGTCCTCTGTCACTCTCCCCTATTTGTTTGCAGCAGGATCTCTCCCTGATTCTAGGAGCTTGCATTTTCTCAGCTAGGCTAGAACCCAGTGATTCCCCTGCCTCCATGTCCTTCCAACCTGGGTTACAGGTGTGTGTGTCCACATTGCCAGCTTATTACCTTGTAGATGTTGGGACCCAAACTCCCAATCCTCAGGACTGCTCAGCAAGAGCACTGAGCTATCTCTCCAGCCCTCATTTGCATGGATGCTTTGGTTATTTGAATAAGTTTGACCCCAGGGAGTGGCATTATTAGGAGGTGTGGCCTTGTTGGAGGAAGTATGTCATTGTGGGGGTGGGCTTTGAGACCCACCTGCAGTACATGCAGCTTCAAACAACAAAGAAACCTGTCTCAAACGAACTGGATGCAAGGTGGTATTCCTGTACACACCCACACTCAGGAACATGCAGACAAACATACATCATACACCATAACACCTCTCCCTTCCTCCCCCTCTCTGCCCATGTATGCTTTTGATTATGTGTGTGTGTGTGTGTGTGTGTGTGTGTGTGTGTGTGTGTGTGTGTATCTGTGTCTCTGCAGAGGATGGAAGAGGGCACTGGATCCCCTGGGTTGGAGTTACACATACATACATACATACATACATACATACATACATACATACCCGTGAACCACCTGATATGGGTACTGGGAACCAAATTCCACTCCTCTGAAAGAACAGTGAGCATTCTTAACCTCTGAACCATCTCTCCAGCCCCAAGTTCTTTATTCTAAGATACTTATTTGTTTGAGAGTTAGTATCTGGATCAAGATACAGCTTATAATGGGCCGTTTCTTGAATGTCATAAAGTATGGTGATCATCTGCGGATGGAGGACCGTGGATGTATTTCTGACTTCTGCCATCCTATTCCTTAAGACATACCTGCCTCCCCTCACTACTTTCATTGGAAGAAATGACTTCTGTTTGAACCTTAAAGAAATGAAATAATTGCGGGGTCGGGGGAGTGCCTGTTGCTCAACCTACCAATACTTAAGGCTGTGCCATGGTAACTCTATGTTGAAACCAAATTACAGGAGTT